CATCATAGTAATACGGCAAATACAACCTCAAGCACACACACAAGCAGACATACTTAGTTGCGAAAACAAGTCAAGAACGGAACTAGCCTAAGATCTAAGATCTTATCTCAGCTCACCTCATCGGATTGACCGACTCCAAAGCTCGACGATCCCGCTTCTTTATTTTCTCCTCGGCTCTGTTCTTAGTTGCTCGCCGTGCCATGAATCTGTGCTGGCGAACCAACTGAGAGCACGTGTAAATGTTATGGCGGGCAAGAAAACCCGCATCGGCCTACCTAGATAGGCCTTCGGTATCTCTAGTATAGATACACGACCTATACTGATTGATAACTACCGATGGAGCCAGATCCCTCAGCAAAGACCGAGAAATCCATTTTCTCACCTGGGTAGGTAAGTACTAAATTACGCTACGTCCGGTCCTTTCTCACCGGAATTCGGAATGGCTGACCCGGGGCTTGGGACGCGGTCCACAGGGCCCCTCGAGCTTGCGAAGCTGGGTTTGGCGTCATGGGCACACACGAACCCGTTTTCGTGTAGCGTAGGCACCTAGATGTAGCATCCCATGTTCGACCTTCGCCGGTCTCCGACTAAGAGTTGCACCGCTCTCAGCTGTCCATATTGGGACGTATACCTACTTAGTCGGACATTACAAAAAAACAAAAAAAAAACAAAAAAAAAGAGGGGGGGGATATTGCTACGCATATTCCATTATCGTGGGTGGGCAAACTCTAGTAAAGTATATTAACTCGCTAACCTACCGATACACACACTTTCGAGCTTCCTGAATAACCCCGATAAAGAACCAATAGCAGAAGATATATCCCGTCGTCAAGACATGCGACTTTGCAATTAAGTAAAGTGGTAATTAGCCTTAACTTTCTATCACTACTGTAGTCGCCTATAACGTGTTCTGCGTCATTGCCGCGTCTATCTACCGGCATAGTCACACCGCAGCTCGGTCCGGATAATACAAGTCAGATTCACAATGTCATATCGTAAATTTGCAGGATTCTCTATGCGCCTCTCAGGCTTTGACATTTGCTGACACAGTGGACTGGTCCGCGTGCCATCAGATCACACAACTTCATCACCTCCTGTTAGAGGGAGCATCAGCTGTCTAGTGTACACTCAGGGAAGCACTTGTTGTCAGTTGATGTTTTGTCTTGACTGGGCAACAATGTACAACTGTTAGACCAAAGCAGTTCATGGTACATCAATTTGGACCTCGCCCTTTGTGGAGCCTGAGCCTTGGCCAACGCGAAACGTCACCATCTTTTTGTCATGGGGTCTATCCTGACGGGGATATGTCAAAGTGAACTTTCCACGCCACAGCGGTACCGCCAATCCTGATCGATAATACGATTACTATCATCTCCGTGCACTACATGTAGATATAGTGTAAGGGCATCATGAAACAACTTTCAACGGCCGGATTCGACCCGAATACCAAGCTGATTGATAACCTTATCTCTCTCAACAGCACTCACCCTTGGCCCTGATATGTGACGAAAAAATGAGTTATCCCACGATAGTATCCTTCATCATCGACAAGGTCTAAGAGTGCAAAATCTCTCTGCTCTCTAATGGATCGCCATGTCATCAAAACTAATCCCCGATGATATCCAGTTTCGAGTTACTGTCAGTGGAAGAGGCAGAGGTTTAACTCTCCATCGAGCATAAGTCACGATAGTCCTCATGCAGTATAGGAGGTCCAGATTGAGCCCCAACAGTCTCGACCTCAATCCCACCAGCTTATCGTGACTTCCACCCCACGAGCTACAGGGCCATATTCGCGACACAAAACCCCGCAAAGTGCTTGCCGTACCAGGACCACGGCCACGGGGATCTTCGAAGTATGAAAGGTACACAGTAGGCCATCTACCGCAGTACTACACCCCACGGGATCCATCTTATCTATATTGACTCACTTCCTTTTTTTTTTCTCTTCCCCGGACACCTCCTGGTAATAATTGTTGCCTAGGATGGTAACTCCGCATGGATTAGCCTTAACCAGAAGCTGATGACATATAACTGTAACTAATGATTCGGCAATAGGGCAGTGCTACGTATAGTAGCATGATCCTTCGAGCCACGTTCTACGCTTCGTTTCCCTGTGACCCGAACGAACATACGTCGCCAACTCGCGGCGGTTCGGGCGACAAGAGACCCACGTCGGTGAGACCGGGCCTCTACGGTCAAGGACGCATGCGGAATTGCCGTGACATCGAACCAGCATTACGACGCAGGCACGTGGAGCCAACATGCGCGTACGGGTTTGTCCGGGGTCCCGTCGAGAGACAAAGAAGACAATGTCACGGTCTTTACGGTAGTGTAGACTCTATGTACTCCCTCCCTAACCTACCTACCTAGTCGACTGCTCACCGCCTTGGCCTGGATTGGGCCGAGAGTGACGCAAAAACCCCAGGGTGAACAAATACCCGGGGTTTCTAGAAGGAATTAGATTATGCGATTTTTCGTGCAGTACCGTGCCGTATGAGGAAGTTTCTAAAGTCCGGGAAGGGGAAAAGAGAAGAAGAAGAAGAAGAAAAAAAGAAAAAAAATGGTTCTTCATTTTCAGGTCCTCCTTCCTAACTAGGCCGGCCCGTTCCGTCGACAGTCCCATTCTCTTCGCAGAAGGAATGCAATGTCAGCAGCTCGTCGTCATCACCACCACCAACCGTCTACCAGGGGTGAAGATCCCTTGCGTGGAAACGCCGCTCTTCGGATTTAGCGTACCACTGCCAGATCCGAAGTTACAATAGACCGGGGGGAGGGGGGAGGAATGCATGAGAAAATCCGTTCGCTATGACCCTCCCGCCATCTCTCGCCCTGCCATAAACCCCGATTGTGATTCTCGAGGCCCTTTTTTCTGCAATTGGCCCGGTCTTGTCCCCGTTTACGAGGTGATATGCACAGCGAAGGTGACATGCAGCTAACACCACCCATTTCCGGCCTCAAGGTCAGGCCAATGTCGGGCCAAGAGCCGGGGATGTGCCGCTCGCTGCAGCTGGCAGTCCACAGCCACGTTTGTTTGATCCAATCTGGCCGGCGGCGAGTTTCGAGTGCCTATCTCAGTACTTGATCATTGTCTCTATCCTCATCTGAGAGCTGCCATTCCTTGACATCCCTGCTCCGGGGCATCTTTGCAGGTATTGTATATGCGTAGGTACCGTATTATTAGCGCGTCCTCGGACAAGCATACAACCCAAATTTCCGCTCCCGGGTTTGGTTTGCGTGGTGTCTCAAAAAAGATTCCTAACCATCACCTCGAATCAATTGGGACTCGACGTTTCGGATTATTCCTTGCTCGAAGCAGACCCATCTCCAAATTTCACTCTTTCCTGCTCAAATCACGAGTCATGAAGTTTCCATTTGCCCCCCCCCCCCCCCTGGCGGAACGCGCATGACGGACTAGCGTACCATAAAAAGCGTGCTTATATGCATTTCGACCGCATTAGCATCCTACTTTATGTGAACAAGTGCATGGTGTTTGCAGGAAACATCGATCAGCGCCGCTGTCGTTTCCTCCCCTGTATGACACAGGGGGGCGCTTATGCTAGGTAAGTGAAGGAGCCCAGGTTTTCTGTCCGATTCGTGTACACATCCGAGGTCAGCGAGCACACCAGGGCCAGGATATTGTCCTTTGGTCCGCGATTGACGCGCTTGCAGTCTTGTGTAAGTGACAGCCTCCTGTATAAGGCTGAGTTTGTCATTCGCTTAACCAAGCCTGCATCTTGGCATTTTGGCGACGCCACAGATTCTTGCGCAATGATCTCCACCGCAACATCCAACTGCATGAGCGGAGTGTAATAGGTATGTTTAGTGCAGATGTTTCACCCTTTGGTTTGACATATGCATATCTGAGGCCGGGCGCGGCCATCCGTGACGGCCAGGTAACATATCACTTGGGATTTAGAGCGGCGTCACTAGAGTTGTAATGGCTGGCCGTAAGGAGGTGTCTGAGTGTGATCTAATCCTACCGAATCTACCGCAGTGAGGCGGCGCATAAAACATGCAGAAGACAGTCTCAATTTGTTAGGACTTTTTAGCGAAGCTTGGTTTGTTATGTTTGCACAGATTATGGATGTTCAGTCCTGCTATGCCCTAAGTCGCGTATTTCTGAAAGGCTCATCCTACCACACTCCTTGAAGGTCCTCCGCCTTAATGTACATCGTTACAGCATTCAAGCAGCAGCTAGTTTCATGTATTATGACCTACGTTACAAAATCCACTAACTATCGGGGTTATGATATGACTAGGAAGGAAGTGGCTTGTGTGAAAAAAGAGCACCATCTTGCGAGAAGCAAAGATCAATCCATTTAGTCCTCTCGGTCCCTGCCTGTATCCATCAGCTATACGTTTTATTGTTTAGTTAGGTGAGCGAATGTGTGAGTTGATACATTGAGGAGTATAGAACTGTTTTTAAGCCGGAATGCTACAGGTGCTGTAGAACAATATTAAAACTAATAATTTGTTCCTAGATATAGTTGTGAATATAGCAATATATATGGTCGAACCTTTTTGGGAGGTTTTTTTCTCGGCTTTTTCATGGTACTCTAATCTCCAAGCGAAGCTAAAAAAGAGAAGAAAGCCTAGTAACAGATACCTACCTATACATACTATTTATTGATTTGTCCTTTAAGCACACTAAAGAAGAAGTTTAGTTCTTCTTCGTCCCTATATAATTAACTAGCAGCCTAACCACTATTATGACCCAGCGGCACAACTAGTTAGTTAAGTGGAGTAATTAACGCACGGGCCTCTCCCCGGAGTTCAAATTTCTAAGGGTTTGTTGAGTTAACTTAGGTAATTAACATGTTCTTTTTTTTGTGTGCTTGTTTTTGCTTGTCATGTAATAATCTTAAGCAAAATTTTAGAGGTAAAAAAAGAAAAAGAAAAGAAGAAAAGTGATAAAAGTGATAAAAGTAGAAGAGAAAAAGCAGACCGAGATATTTGCAAACAAAAAGAGTAGCCTCTTAGGTAAGAGTGGGGCAAAAGATTCTCCTGAGGGTGACTCGAACACCCGACCTGTGGATCTCTGAGATAATTTGCAATTACAGTCCAACGCGCTACCAACTGTGCCATCAGGAGATGCTGAGATGGACGTTCATGCTTTATGCTGTCCCTTATGCCTTCTATACTACACAATCTCAGGCACCACACCCTTTATGTATACTTAGTATGTATTATCCTGACATACTATGTGCCAGATGCTGGCCATGGCCTCAGACATAATACTTCTGAGGCACTCCTCCAGGCAATGGTAAGCAAGCAGCTCATCCTACCATTCACTTTAAGGTTAACGTTGTCGGTATTAGGCGATGCAGCCAGCAAGCTGGCTTTAGAACTGCACATATGACACCATTTTCTCTTTCACTATTGATGGCATGCGTAAATATGTTGTAATGACGCAATTCTTCTAGCCAATAGTTTTTCTTCGGTTAAATAAGAGGGAAAGAATAAAAAGACAAATAAAACTAGTTGCACACCTTACTTTTTATTCCCAATGCTAGTTTGTGTAGTTAAACCTACACCTAAGAGCTCATGTTGATTCTTTATCACATAGCAAGAGGTGATTTATACGTTTGTAAACATGTCATAAGGCAAGAAGTAGTTTGTTTTCATGGTTTATATTGAACAAATAAAACATCCCTTCAATTGGTTTGTGAGTTTTATGAAGAAATATCGCATTATACTCGAAGTGCTGCTTTAAAGCGCTCAATCTCTTATTTTACATTCGCAATTCAACATATATTTTTTCACAGTGCCATTGACATGATACCTTATTTTCTGATGCGGTAGACTCGAGCATGCAAAGTGAACTTTCGTCCGGCAAATTAGAGTACAACTTAACCATGTGAAGTAGGTTTGCTGGTTTCCGCGCTACACATGCTACATAATATCAGTTAGTGAAACGGAATTCATTTTTAGTAAAAGAACACAGTTTCTCAAGAATAAACATAATTTTCAACAATCTACCAGTAAATTCCATTGAAGTATCATCAGAAAGCATGTGTGTGAGCAAGGTCTTTCAAAATTTAGGCAACATTGAAGTTCTTCCAGGAGGTAAATACACCGCGGGGTCTCGGATATCAGTGCCTCTTCATTCCAACCTCTCGGGCATGTGAGCCGTACATACCACAAGTTCGTGTTCCAGATTTTAGAACCATCTACAGAGGGTTACATTTCATGTCACGGGTCAAGGTCATACGGTCCCATTCACAGAATAGGTATTGGACCGTGTTAGAATTAAACGAAGATTCTAAGAGATACAAGGACGGATGACACTCTGTCCACGTGCCACGGACAATGCGTGCCTTGAGATCGAGCACACACCCATATGTTTCGAGACCCAGTTTAAATATATCAAGCAGGTTGTTCGCACACTGGAGGACCATGGTAGATAGGTCGTTGGCCTTTGGAATATCACTCCTTAGGGCACAGAAATTGTCACCATATGCAAACTTCGTCATCGTTTGATAATAAGGGGGAGAAAAAAGAAAAAAGGCCCAGAGCATACGGAACGAACTGAGTAGTGAAGCTACCACATACATGCTTGTCATTATTCTAATAGGCTATCTATCAAGTGCAGTACGCAAAAATGGAGCAGAAATGGTATGTGACTTATCGGCTAACAAAGCTTGCCCGCGATCCATTATCATCTGAAATCCTAGATTGTGGTTAGCCGCCCTTGCCGAGATCGGATCGTCCTCCTAGGGCGGTCACACGCTTGAACTAAGCTGCGGGTGTTGATGACGCAGGCCAACCAACGCCTAGCTCACGACACTAAAGCATCAAATTTGGAAGAATAGATTCCGATAGGCTATTGTTTCGACAGGTCATTTTTGCGTCATATCGGATCTGATGGGGGGCTTTCCCGCAGACGGTCCTCGCCCAATATTATCGCTTAATCTTTTATCATGAATGCTTCGTGATAGTTTGGGTTGTATCGTTCAAGCCTATAAATAGAGTCGTGACAGTAGAATCAACACACCTTGTTAGAAGTTACAGAACGACAAGTCCGCCCATATGGTTGGCGCGTCCCGTAGCACCTGGGCTTGAAGGGACGTTGCGATAGCATTAGTATCTAGCCCACGCTCGTTCGACGGGCAGGATAGCATCTCAGGACTTACCCATGGTCCCCATTCGATCGACAGATCATGATCGAGATCCTTGTTGTTAAGACCAAGAGGCCTCTGCTATTAGTAGCTAGACTACCTCACGGCTACATGCGTGCATGTAATACGACCGCCCATTGAGACTACCTACCTACTGCATATTGAAAGTGGCAAGGAAAGCCCTCTAACCATGTTAGTTTAGCTCGACCCTTCGATACATTTTTCTCAGGCATGTGGCGGCTAGGTGCAATATATCAACGTGCTTTATTGCCATCGCGTTCCTATTGATGTTCAGCTGTACAGAGCTGAAGTGTTAAGAGTTGTGCTATTGTCTCTGCGATATGATAATGCAATGGTAAAGTGTTTTAACCAATACGTCTATAAATAGTTTATACCGTATTATCAGAAGTTTGTGGCAATACTTCGTTAAAAGCTCCCTCCTCTTAGTTGAGTTCCCCGGTTTTTCATACGTAGCTGCCTCCAATGAACTTGACTATTATGACACGGCTCGCTGTAGAACAAAGAGACGTGGATATCACCAACTGAAAAACCCCGGGACTCTCGCGTATCGACACATATTCATAATCAGTACCCCTCCCCTCTATACCTCGATTTCTGTAGCGAGATCGTGACATGAACTGCAGCAATATGTCAATGTACCTACTAGTAAACCATACCATGTACCTACTTGCCGACCTCCTGTACAGGTCACATATCAGGCCTTTCCTTCTTTCAAGGTTTCATTGCCGAAAATGTTGGGAATTCGGATGCGAGTAATACAAGTTCCTACTGGTGATACGATCTTAACATCGTGTCTCCTGCTGCAATGAAGACTAGGGAGGGTTGAAGGGATTAACCCTAGAGTCGGCGGCTTTGTACAGTCTTGCTCATGCATCCACACGCTGGTACCCAACCCCTTATGAGAACAGGAACGGGTTGCTTCATGGCTTGAACGGGAGTCACCTTTCCAAGACCGTGATCTTCCACTTCCAGCCGAGTCCTTTTTAGGTACGATCTGAGGATTGTATTACCAATCAGCATTGAATATAAACATCATATCTTACTTATCTCATATTATTTTACATTTTATTGTAAATTTAAGCCCTCCGTCATCTTAGCCTTGTATTCTCCCCAACTTTTGGTATATGGTCATGTACCAGTTCTTCGATTCTAACGAGCATGGGAAACCAACTCCTTGTACCCTTTGCACAATCTCGTGCCCGTTTCACACGGCAATACTTATCCAAAATTAGGCCTTGATGAGCTATGTAGCCTTTCGGCCGTTTGTTGAAATAAGACATACAAGACCTAAAGGGGTCACAGAAAGTGAGGCGGCTGAGCCATTGAATTTCTACCTAGAACACAAGTGACTGAGGACCTCGATACAACAGAATATTAGTTCCAAATTGAATATCTGTGACATTATGTCGGCAAATTTTGGTAACAACGTCAGCTTGCGGTTGTTACCAACTAGGTCGAGGAGAAATCTAGTACTAACCACGACGGTGATGAAGGGCCTGAAAATATCTAAGATACCCAGTTGCTATTCTTCTCTTCTCCTTTACGGTAATTTAGATAAATATCCGTTTTTCTTTGTGCTATTTTTTTTTAAAAGATTCCAAATATGACGGCGTACAGTATATCGAACATGTTCTCAACTAATAGAATTGTATGTACCTCGGTGGCCAGTCTTAGACACTACAAAGTCTGCAGCACATCCGAATAGTCGGTCTACGGGTAGTCAAAGTAAGGTGCCGTAGCGCAGCTCGAACTCCTCTCCTCAGTGCGTCTTTTTGTCTAGTTCACTAAGCCGAGCTATATAGTAAAAATTTTGGCTAATAACTAGAGCATTTGGGATGTTACAGCAATAGCGGAAGTTTAGTCTCGTGTTCATTAGAATTAAACTCCTAGGTTGCTTCAGTAAGATCATTGAGGGCTTGGTTGGCACTGCTAACACTATTGTCATAGAAATCGTCATAGTTGATTTTCTGACTAACAACTGCGCTCTGGGATACTAGTAATGATTCGAGAAGTTCTTGCCAGATGGGTATAATGAATGAGCACCCATATTGTAGGTATGCGTTGTTGCGCGAAGAGCCTCGAACCACATGCTGGCGAGACCTCTGTTGAAATGCTCTCTTTTGGACCTTTGTCACATGACAGTTTAGATAACCATCCCACCTCGTCGACCAACAACTTACTGGTATAGATCAGCTTAGCCCTGCCACGACGACGTCAATACCAAGTGTATGCTCAATTACCTAGGGACAAGCAGTCACAATTATTTCACTTTCGAGATCATTCCAACCAGACGGAATAACCACTAGCTCTGAGGTAAGGCATCCTGTGCTAGATTGCATGCTAAGACTAATAACCCAACTCCGACCCCGGCTTTATCGGGAAATAGGTGAAATATATGGCTATACTTGTGTGGTGGTAGGGCAGTACAGGCCTATTCGCAGGCTTTGGTTAAACAACATCTTGTATGTATGCTGTACCGAAGTATTCAAGTAGTCAGGCATACTTGATAGCATATGGTCTTTTGTGGCTTACAAGCGATCCTTGTGTTACTGAATCCGAACAAATCGCGTCATTTGTGGTCTCGTCGATATCCAGCCGGAAGCTAATGCCTAGAAAATCGTATGCTGCACGTGTACTACCAAGTGGAGATCCCAACTTAGCTGGGAAGTTATCTCGCCGAACTGGTCTAAGGATGCTATACTGTAAACAGTCGTAATCTAATCCAGAACGACAGAACGCCACTGGAGAAGCGCCGTCGCATGGGTGCAGGGGCCAATCAGTTCGTTCGAGAACTCGCTTCAACTGAAGTGATTTCCCACTTCCCCGGGTGCAGGTCGCACTTAGAAGCTCCCTTTGTGCCACATTTGTGCATATGCATATGTCTTTACCTCCGACGCATACCTAGAACATAACAGTATACACTAATGTACACGTGTAGGTAGTAGTCGTGCC